GCCAGCCCCGGCGCTGGCCTTGTTAGCAGCTCAACGCCTCCCGCGTCCCCCTCCCCAGCTGCGTGCGTGGTCCCGGGCAAGCCAGACCCACGGGGAGCTGGTGGCTCTTGGACCCGTGTCTGATTTGCAAGAGGGCTGGAGCATGGGGGGGAGGGGGGGGTTGCTGTCCACGGTGCTGGCTGGCAGGGCCTGGCATGCTCCAGCAGAGGGCGCCCGCTGACCGGCCTGGCAGTGCTGCCTAATGGGTAGGAGCGAGCGCAGCTGTATCCATGGCCGCAGCTCTGCTTGGGGCTGGGGATGGCTCCGGACCTGCCAGGGTGATGGGATGGGGCGTCCCGGCTGGTGCAGTCCTGCCTCTGCGTGCACGCGTGTGTGAGCACGAGGGCATCCGTGTTGACGTGCCGGAGCACGCGGGGCTGCCCCGGTTGCGTTGGCCGTTCCAGGGGAGCGGGCGGGCATCGGTGTGTGCACGTGGGCCTGCCTGCACAGTGCACATGCTAGCTGGTGTGCACGTGGCACGTGAAGGTGGCGGAGCTGCTGGACGGGGCCGGGTGCCCACATGCCGGCTCAGGGCCAGGCCGGGGTCTGGGCCTGGTTTGCAAGCTCTGCTTTGCAGCCTCCTCTCTGCCCCCAGCCCTGAGAGCCTGGGCGCAGGGGAGGGCTCCCGAGCCCAGATGTGGCACCAGCTGTTGCACAGCTGCCCACTCCCATTCAAGCTTCCCCCCAGCCCTGGCTCTGGGAGTGCTGACGTGCCCCAGCCCCCGGTTTGTGGGGCTGGAGATAGGAGCCTGTTCTGCATTTGGGTGGGGCGGGGGGTGTTTTGCAGCCTGGAGCCGTGGCCGTACAGGCCGTCTCCTGCCCCAGGGAGATGTCACGGAGAGCACTGGTGCCGGGCAGGCTGGTAGCGCGGTGCCCACGGCTGAGCCCCCTAGCACCGTGCCCCTCCCTTCCCTCCCCTGAGGCAGGGCAGAGCCGGGGGTCTCGCATGCCCAGGCCCTGCAGGGAGGGGATCCCCATCTCCTGGGGCTGGGGCAGCCAGGGGTACTGCATGGTCCTCGCTCCCTACCCTGCCCGGAGCCCGGGGGTGCAGCTGGCACATGGGCTGCAGCACCCTCCCCTTCCCGCCGGCCTGGAAAAGCGCGGTCAGCGAGGAGCCAGGCCACGCAGAGCTCGCGCCGGCCCCGAACAAGGCCTGCCATTCTCCTGCCTCCTCCGTGCCCGCCACCCCCTCCCTAGCCGCTCGGCCCGGGAACAATCCGGCCGCTTGTTGGCCTGGAAGCATCGCCGCCGCTCGGCCACGCCGGGGCTTCCCACCAGCCCGTGCCGGGGCATGGGGGCTGCTGCAAGCTTCCCCACAGCAGTGCCCTGAAAGCAAAGAGCATCCCTGCTGCTGGCGGGGCCCCGGTGGGCATGCCAGCTGTGTGCCCGGTGCCTGCCAGTTCTGGCCCAGCCTCTGCTAAGGGCCTCCCTCGGGCCTCCTGCCAAGGCAGAGCTAATGGGTCCCTCGGAGAGCCGGTGCCAGCTGCTCCAGAGCCGCCGGGGGTGGAGAATCGCAGGCTGGCGGGCGCGGAGAGCCCCGGCCCTGCCTGCCTGCGCTGCCCGGAGCCGGTGGGGCTGGAAGGAAGCTGCCGAGGCGGTGGGGAGGGGTTTGGGCGAGGCGATGCGAGGCGAGGCCGGGCAGTCACTGCCACTCTGGACTCTGCAGCTGCAGGAGCTGGCGACTGGAGCGGGCGGCCGGCATGAGCGCCAGGAAGCGGAGCTTCACCTTCGGGGCCTACGGAGGGTACGTGCCGCGGCGTGGGGGCTCTGCGTCGTGCAGCTCTGCCCGCGCCCCTGGGCCCAGCCCCTGCTCTCCCGTCCAGGCCTCCCCCAGCTCAGCCAGTATCCCCCAGGCCCAGCCCACTTCCCACTTCCCAGCCCAGCTCTGCCAGTGCAGGCCGTTCCTTGTGCTCCGGCCCCGTTTCCCCACGCCCTGTCCCTGCCCGGGCCCGCTCTGCCCCCGAAGGCATCAGAGCACGGGTGGGCACGGGGTGCCTCCGCCATGGCGCGGGCTCCTGCGCGGCACAGGCCAGGGGCGGCACAGCCCACCTCTCACAGCTGGGACACAGGGTTGATGCCTTGGCGCTAAGCGCCCAAGACTGGATGCCTAGGCTCCTGGGTCCCACTTGCCCTGCCGCTGGCTGGCTGGATAGCTCTTCCCCGCTTCGTGCCTCAGTTTCCCCCTCCGCACTGATGGAGCTTGTTTTCCTCCTGTGGGTGTGGGCGGTGTCACACCTGGGGAGATCCACATCGGTGCTAAGGTGCCTGGGGGCTGGTCCTGGCCTGTGGGGCTGCAGCAGGCTGGTGTGAGCATCTAGCCCGGCAGGGAGCATGGGCAACCTGTGGCACGCATGTCACCAGTGGCATCTGTGTGTGGCACACGGCAGACCAGGGAGGGGGAAGGCAATGCAGCAGCAGATAGGGCAGGGAGCAGAAAGCAGAGCAGCAAATCAGGCAGAGAGCACAGGGCAACAAGGAGAAAGCGGCACGGCCGATGGGGCAGCTGGGCAGGGTGAACACCGTGCTGCTGCCCCCGGGGCTGGGCCGTGACCCCGGGTGCTAGCAGCTGTCCTCCCCACCATGTCATTTGGGGCCGCAGGTGCTGTCCTGCCCAGGCCGGGCCGGGTCCAGGCGGCCTCACGCTGGGGCCAGGTGCTGGATGCTGCCCGGGCCACGGCCGTCTAGCACCACTGAGAAATCCCGGGGGAGGGGGCCACAGGGCGTGGGGGCGGCAGGCGGCACCTCGTGTCTGGGCTCAGGCGGGGGCGTGAAGCAGACCAGCCCCCAGCCCTCGTGGGCTCGGGCCCAAGCTGCCCCCACATCCCCGGGTGGAGAGGCCGGAGCTGCCCCAATGCCCCTGGCCCCCTGCTGGGCCCAGCCAGGACTGCAGCGGGGCAGGAGGGAGCGGTCCCCGTTGTCTTGCAGGCCTGTGTTTACTCCTCTGCGTGTCCTCCCCCGCGGCCCCCGGTGCATTTGTTGCCTGGAAACCCTCTCCGCGCGGCCCGTCCCCAGGCCTCGGGGACAGTGGAGCAGGCAGCGTGAGCCGCGGGGCCAGGCGGGCTGGGAGCAGCACATACCTGCGTCGCCAGCGCCTGCAGCATCGCGGCAGACGGGCTCCGGGATGGGGCAGCTGCCTCGACAGCCGTGTTGTGGCCCTGGCTGTCTCCGTGCGTCCCCCCGAGCCCTGCCAGCTGCTCTGGGCTGGGACGAGAGCCCAGGTGTGCTGGCTCTGGCCCCTGCCGCGTGCTGGCTCTCGGCGCGGCCCTTGCCGTGCTGCCCCTGGGGCTTTCGTGGCAAAGACGTGGTCGCTCCCGTAACCCCCCCTCCCTGGCAGGCCTCACGGGTGCGTAACGGGGCGGGAGAGGCTCAGCTAGCTCTGCTGCGTTGCCATCGCCTTCACACCCCGCTCGTCCCTGCAACGAAGAGGTGCCCTGGTGCTGTCCCTGCGTGTCAGGAGGCGACGTGGCTGCATCGAGCCCCATCTGCCAATACACGGCTTGCAAAAAACATGGCCGGGGCAGGTGGAGGTGCATAGGCGGAAACCAAGAGTTTAACCCCCGTCCCTGGTGCATCTCTACCCCCCACCCCCAAAGCACCTGGTTGCTGCGCTGGCTAGAAACGGGCAGGAGACTGACCAGCCTGTTTGGGGTCAGGGGACACCAAGGAGCGGGTGCCCGGAGCCAGGCCCCGTACTGGGACCGAGCAGCACTGCCCCGCTGGAGCCTGGGCCAACTCAGCCGTGGCGTGCCCTGGTGCCCCGATGTCAGGGGAGTGGGGCTGAGCTCGGACCCGGGCCCTTTACGACCCTCCACTTGAGTGGTGGCTGTGTCTGGCTGTGCCCGTCGCGTGCACCTGAGAGCTGGCACGAGCTCCAGAGCCTTGCGCCGTGATTCAGGCCAGCTGCAGCCCCCGGGGTGCCTCAAAGACCTCCCAGGGGTGCTGATGGGGCAACACAATGCACATGGTACACCCAGACGTGGCAACGGGGTGAAAAGCTGTCCGACCTGCTGGGGTCTGTCCGAGGAGTCTGCCTGGCTGTGGTACCCTTCTGTCCTCCCAAGTAGAGCCAGCGTGGCCCAAGGGGTGGAGAGCCGTGGTCTCAGCCCTGTTGCGTGTTGGGGGTCGGTGCCGGGGAAAGCAGCCGGGGCCTGGTGCTTGCAAACGCGCCGTATTTAACCCTAAACAGCCGGGAGCACGGTGCGGCCGGTCAGACTGGTTCCAGGGCCGAGGCTGGAGGCCTGGGCTTGTTTGTTGTTTGTGCCCCTGCCCTTTGGCACAGATTGCCCCACTGCTGCTGCCGGACAAGAGGGAGCGACCGTCTCCGCAAGCGGGGCCCCTTGGTGCTGGACCAGGCTCCCATCCAGAGCGCCCAGCCTGGGAGACTCGGCTTCCCTCCCCTGCTCCATGGGAGAGGATCCACGTGGCTCCGTGGTCCGAGCTGCTCTCTCAATCATGCCAGGGCCCTGGGGAGGGTCCCCCTGATGCTGGGGTGCCATCACGACCCCCCTGACCCTACCGACAGCCTCTCCTCGTGCCATCTGGACGGGGAGCCTGCCACACTCCCCCTGCCCCGGGATCTGCTTCTCAGTTGCCCCATGACTCTTCCAGCCAGGCTTACAGGCCCGGTTTCCCCCAGCCCTCTCCGTGCTCCCCTCTGCATCAGCCTTGGGGGTGCTGGCTAGTCTGGATTTGATCCTAACGCCCCTGGGCAGCAACTGGATGGTGGGTGCCACGGGGCCCCAGCGGGATGGGAGCGCTGGGCCCCGTGGCTGCGTGACGGGGTTGCTTGCATGGGTTAGACAAGGATTTGCACAGGGTGGTTTGGACAAGTGGGGGCCTGGAGGGGATGTGACCCCTGTGGCTCCTTCCAGCCCTGCTTTTCTAAGACCTGACTTCTAGGGTCAGGGCCAGGGCTTGCCCCTCTGACCCCTCTCTCCTTGTTTTTCAGGGTGGACAAGTCGTTCATCTACCCCAGAAACCTCCGGTGAGTACAGCGCCGCGTTTCCAGGGGTGTCCGGGGCGGGCAGGCAGGGATGCTACCTGCTGGTCCCAGGGGCTCATGAAGGCAGTGACCTTGGGGGTGACTAATGCCAGCGAGGAGAAGGAAACGGCCTCAGAGGCAGAAACAAAACCTTCAGGGCGGGGGACGCCAATCTGCATCTCGGCGCGCGAGGTGTGGGGCTGGGCGCAAGTGTCTGGAACAAAGCGGCCGCATCTGGGCAGGCACCGGGCAGCAGCCAACGCGGCCTCCGCGGTGCAGGGAAGGGCTCTGGGCAAGAGCAGATGCTAAATCTGGTGGTAGGCTCGAGGGACGGATAATTAAAGACCTGGAGGTGAAGGGAACAGGGGCTGAATGAAGTGCACGGTGGGTTGTCTGTGAAAGAGATGGCGCCAGGCGGGCCTGACAGCTCCTTCTGATAACAGCTGACTTCCCAGACAAAGGCGGTGCAGCGGGTCTCGGCTCCCGGGGCTTCAGCAAAGCACTTGAGGCCATTCGTGAAGCGGGAGAAGAGGGGGATTAGGGGAAGCGCTGGTGATGCGGTGTTGGGAGGGGAGTCAGGCTGGCGGCGGTGACAGGGGAGCCGGCTGCCTCGCTCTTTCCGCTTGTGACCTTGGCGTACCAGATGGGCGTGCGGCCGTGCCACCGGCTGAGGAGACGCGGCCATGGCTCGGGCGACGTGCCAGGGGAGAGCATCGTGGTGGTGACCCTGAGGAGCAGGGCGACGCACACGGGCAGCGGTGGCATTTCCAAGAGAGGCAGGAGCGAGCCCATGCAGGGCAGGAGTGGCGGGACCTGTGGAGCAGTGCTGGGATGGAGAGGCGCCTGCACACTGGACCGGGGCAGGGCAAGGAGGGGAGACTGGAAGAGCCAGGCCTGGTTCACCCTGCCGAGCAGAGGGGCAGAGGGCGGGAGCTGATGCCAACGGTGCTGCGGGGCGGACGTCGAGGGGAGGCGATTCCTGACACTGCATCGGGGTGGCAGCCTGCAAGGAAAGCCCAGGGGGGCACGGTCCCTCCCCCGGAGCCCGGATCGGGCCCTGCAGCTGGGGCAGAAACAATGGGGCCCTGGAGCAGACAATAGGCCCACTCAGGCGCCTCCCTGGCCTGCAGCCCAGCCGATGCAGATGCTTGGATGCTCGCCCTCCCTGCCGAGCTGAAAGGGGCATTGTGCTTTGGGGGGAGACGCTCCCCGCTCCGTGGAGGGAGAGCATGGGGGGGGCCATCCCCAAGGCATCTTGGGCCCTGCCATGGGCACCCCATGGGCCCGGAGCTGGCCTACGCGTGGCGTTTCTGCACTGCATCCCGGCCCAGCGCCCGCCTCTGCCTGGGGACGGAGCCGGCAGCCGCTTGGTGACATGCACATGCCACGCAGCCTGGCAGCTTCAGCCCTGCAGGCCCAGGGGAGCTCCTCCAGCAGCGGGGAAGGTGCTGGGCTGCCAGCTATGGGGATGATCCCGCATTGCGTTGCCAGGAGGAGATGTTCCCTTGGCCCCTGACTGGAGCAGTGCAAAAAGGCAGCGCAGCCCCGGAGCCCTGGGCCGCCCTCCCCTGGGTATCGCTGCAGCGGCTGAAACACCTGGGCTGGGGGTCACGGGCATACCTGAGGCTGCTGCCACCCGTCCCTCCGGCTCTAAGGCGGAAGGATGCCCTTCGCTGCCAGTCTCAGCCTCCCTGCCTCCAGCTTGAGAGCGGCAGGCTCTTCGCTGCTCCGGTTCTGGGTGGGCCTGCCTGGAAGGGAGGCGGGGGGTGCAGGGCATGCTCCTGATGTGCTGGGGACACGCACAGCAGCGACAAACACATGCATTTAGAGATGCAGGCTCCCTGGTGGGCCCTGAAAATGCCAGTCCTCCGGGGAATAGTCCACTGCGTGCAACAGCCCTTCCACTCCCGGCATCTTGTTAAATAACTCCCCAGCCACTAATTCCAAGCAGCAGGAGGTGCCCTGCCCCCAC